ACTTTTGATTTTGTTTCAATACACTTATGTAACTGCTTTAAATCCTTTATAGAATAAGGTGTAGTACAGAAAAAAATACAAATACAAAACTTCATATCATATTTAACACCCAGATAAAAATACAGAACTTCACATATTTAACACTCTTAGGGTTATGGGTATTAATACATAAATTACCTTTATATCCCTGTTCTGTCTCCCTGAGATCAATTTTGGTTATTGGTTTGAAATCAGTGTCCCATAGTCGAATACACCCATCTCGCCCACCAGTGGCAAAGCCTTCTTCGCAAGCATACATGCTAAAGATTCCAGCCTGTTGATTAGAATAGGTAATACTCAATGCTGCACACATTCTAAGTAGTCATCATAGATCAATCTTGATGATTAAAAATATAGCAAAACAAAACAAAAATAAAAACAAACCCCTTGTTCTATATTGAAATCCTGACAATGGACCAGGTAGACATAATATTTTCATCTCAGCTAAATTTAAAAAGAAGCATAAGAACTACCAAAACAAATCAGTTCAAGTGCTTCTTTACCATTACTAAACTGATGGCAGAGTGTGAAAAAAACAATTTTTTTTCAGGAACACCTTGGTTAAAGCAGATATGGAAATCATAAATTATTTTATGTGACAACTGACCCTTATAAAGGACAACTATGGAGGTGTTTCATATAAGTTCCTGCCCAAAGGTACAAAGGTGCCTAAAACACATCTCCCAGCTCAAGAAGGCATCACCTGAGCCTAACTGAAAGCAAAAATAGTATTTGTGTTAGCTTGTTAAGTGTGGTTTGAAGATGCTTTTTTTCACATGTGAAATAGTTTCATATCTTGAAGATGCTCTTCCACAGGATAATATTTTACTTGGCTTGTTCAAAAGTGGTACAAGAATAAAATGCTGACATAAGATCCAGTGTAAAGAGAAATTAGGTTACTAAGGCAGCTGCTTTTATGAATCAGGACAAATACTGACCTCTTAATTGCTCTAAGAGCTGTTTCATAATTAGTGAAGCCAAGAAAATTGATCTGCAACTAACAAGACAATGAAAGGTCTAAAATTTCATAGCTCTTTTGATGAGTTGCTAAACTTATCTTCATGTTAAGTGTAATAGGGAATCAATTTGGAGGCAATAAGCTAAAGGTCTGTCAAGTTTCCAATAATATTTTTACCGAATTTCCATTCACTACAATAGGCTTTACCTTTCATGTCATCCCCCCATTCCTCTGAGCATTTCCATTTTATCATCTGTAGATAGAACAATGTNTCATGTCATCCCCCCATTCCTCTGAGCATTTCCATTTTATCATCTGTAGATAGAACAATGTGACAATTTCCATATGTGTCAAAGGAGAGCAGAGTGGTAAGAAGTAAAGTTCGCCCTTGTTTTTACAGCGCAGACCATCCAGAGAGAGGTTATCGATGGCTTCCTTTTGCACTTTAAAGCTGTGATGTTGACAGAGTGAGGAAAAATGTACCTCACCAACCAATGTAAAAGCAATAGTTGTCTACACCCTTCCAATTTAAAGTACGGGCCATTGACCACCAGTAGTGACATTATCCCAGACCTACCCAGTCAGGATCTGCATTTTAACATGATCCCCAGGAAATTCGTGAGCATGTTAAAGTTTGAGAAGTGCTGGTCTGTAAAATGAAACTGATGACGAAATAGTTCCAGTCTTCTGTCAAACAATTGCTGACAAATGAAATACTCAGCCAATCAGCTAAGAAAGGGCTAGTTAAGTTATTATGCTTTTGAAATATATTTTCTTGTAGGTGAGCAGACATAATTTGGGAAATCTTCATGAGCATTTCAGGAGTGTTCAGTGGACTCCTCTCATTCTAAAGCAATAGGGAAAAACACAGGGTTTTGTGGTCTTATTTTATAAGTCATCCCCAAATTTCCAGGCAGTAGTACTTACACTATGCGCTCCTTGAATGGTGCGCACTAAATTGAGCCCTTTCCAGACATAGATGTCACCATTTAAAGCACCAGAGTAGGTGATGTCTTCTTTGGCACATGCAAGGCAAAGGATGGTCTGAAGATCTCCCGTTTTGCCAAATATCCCTCTTTTTGCAGTCAGGGCATTTCCACATAGTGTCCAAAACTAGAAAGTCACAAAATAGATCCAAAAAATAGAGTATTCTTATGCATTGCATTATTAGTATTTATGTTTCAGTACCTTTTACATAATTTGTTATATCCAAAGTATGCACAAATAAGCTAACTAGTCTCATTGTGACAGGAGAGAACCACACAACATTTTAGCCAACTTGTAGAAGCATGAAAAAAACCCATAATGACATTTTTAAAACCTTCAAAGTTCCCAAATCTCAAAACTTTGCTCACTGTTTAACATTGATTTAATAGAAAACATCAGTGTTCTCAGAGTTGGAATAAAGTGGACAGAACATGATTTTTTTTCCAAGTTTTTTGCCAAATTATAACACTAGTATAGGTTCACTGTAGAGAGGTTTACAAATACAGATAATAAAAAGGAAAATTGAAATGATCTACAATTTCCCGTTAGCATGTTGATATATCATCTAGCCATTTTTAATTTACACATATATTTGGAAATAATTTCTCACTAAAAATGTTATAAAATCTTCATGGTAGAAATGTTATTACTTAGAAATGTTTCTAAATAGGAGTTGTACTTTCATATAGCCAGATAATCGACTAGGCTTTTCAGTTTTAGTTGCATAGTCCATCATGTGGAAGACCATAAGCACAAAGCCTGAGCTATGTTA